TTACAATTATATTTAAACTTCACCCACATGTAAAATAAATATAGATAACCATCAACATATCACTTGTCATAATGTTTCACAACACCCATTAGTGGCTGAAGTAGCGGGCTGACCTAATAATTATTCTAGAGAGGAATCCAATGTTCATTAACATGAAAACTCATAACTAATTAAATATAATACATAAATAATTAGATATACCCTAGCATTATCTAATAATAATTTTAATTAAATTTAACTTCACCCATCACTTGCAACATACATGAGGCCCAATTAATGCACCACTCATCATGGTATTTCATATCACCCACCAATGACAGAAGTAGTGGGACAACCTAATAATTATTTTGGAAAGAAATCCAATAGTCTTTGCTACCAAGAATCATAATTAATTAAATCTAATACATGATAAATTAACATTATCTACTAATAATTACAATTAAATTTGAACTTCACCCATCACATGCAACAGACATGGGGCCCCACCAACGTACGAATGAATCAATACACATTGGAAAGAATTTTATGCTTATGAAGTACTTTTATATAAGGTTTTATGCATGACATGTGATAGATTTACATTTTTTAACTTTCAGTTCATGGTTTGCTAGTAGTAATACTTTTGAAGAGCAAGTGAGATGGGGAAGAAGGCTAATTTGTATTGTAATATTGTGGTGAGCTAAGGGCTACGGAAAATTTTATGTCTGCTATCATTATATGACCAGAACATGGTTTGCTAGTAGTAATACTTTTGAAGAGTAAGTGAGATGGGGAAGAAGGCTAATCTGTATTGTAATATTTTGGTGAGCTAAGGGCTACCGAAAATTTTATGTCTGCTATCATTATATGACCAGAATACTACAAGAATATCATCATAATATAACAAGAATGCAATCATAATATTACAAGAATACTACCATAATATCACCAGAATATTCTCAAAATATCATCATAATACCAGAAAAATATCACCAAAATATCATTATAATATCACTAGAATACCACAAGAATATCACACGAATACCAACAAAATATCATCATAATACCACCAAAATGCAATCAGAATATCACAAGAATACTACCAGAATACCACGGGGTGATCCTCAGGTCGGGTCAACGGGGCGATCCTCAGGTCGGATCAAGTGAAAAAAATGACTTTTTTTTTTTCATATTTTGTTTAATTCACAAAAACTCAATCCAATCACTTCACAAATAACACTATATTATTGAAGTCCGCTGGTACGTACTAATGATCCAATCTTGAAGCAGCCTTCAACCGTTCAGTAAATTCTCAACTGTGTGTGGATAAGGCTGTATTTTTCTAAACAAAAATATATCATTATTTTATCAAAAAAAAAATTAAATCATTAATAAACAATTAACATAACTATATAAAATTTAAAAAAAAATCATAAAAAAATTCAAGCGAAGAAAAGTGCTTGTCCAACATTCATTGCAGGCTAACTATTCTTCGTTTTTAGAGCACAGAAAATTATGTACTTGATTTCTAATATACTGATCTTCATCCTTTAATTTTTCTATTATTGCTTCTAATTTTTAACCAGCTGCATAACAATTTGAGTAACATATTTAAATGAACCCTTGAATTATTTAAATTAACTAAAATGTTCAATTTAGTTCCTTGATTTTCAAATTAAATTCAAACTATTCTATTAACTCCTCAAATTTATTCCAAAATAATTCATTAGAGAGCCTATTATAGATCATATTAAGAAATTAAAGAACTAAATTTAACACGTCAAATAATTAGAATTAAAATAACTCCATATAAATAGTTCAGATATCATTTTTATTTTTATTTTTATCATTTTTCTAATTTTAAATTTCATCTATAAATAATACATTATATATATATATATATATATAAAATGTCGCATTCCTTGTCCAGTTGATAGGTAAGGTCACTGTGAGTCCTCTCTGGCAAGGGTTCAACCCTTACTGTGGTGCGTGGGGGGTTGAACTTTAGGCAGATGGCGCGGGCTCTAATCATGTGGCCGGATTGCGCATGGAAAATCGATATTTGACAGAATATCGATTTCCTTTAATATATATATATATAACTTTGAATATCTTTATAAATATCCCCACAAACAATAAAAAATATGCCTAGTTATTTATGTTCATGCTTAACTTCATAAATAAATAGAAAGAGTATCATCTCACAAATATCTTTATTACTAAGAACTTCAATTATTAAAAACCAAAAACAAAACTCTATCCCACTGAGTGGGGTCGGCTAAATGAATTCTTTTTCTCTCCACTGTGTCCTATTGAGAGTCAAATTTTCATTTAATTCTAATAAAATACTAAAATTCAAATTCGGGTTTTATTTGTCTTTCAAAAAATTAAGTGTGAAACTAAAAAAAAATTAATGTAAATGAAATTCAATTATAAGACGGATAATGGCATAAATCTATCAATATATTGGATATGAACATGATTTCAACATAAGTAACATTACATAAACTAGCCATGCCATAACAAATTAGCCTTCTAAATCTATATTTTTTTCCAGTAGTAAAACTGGCTGGAAAAGTAAAGTATTAGCAATGAAACCAAATTTGTGTATGTGAAATTATGATTAAGCCTAACAGGCACATTTACATAAAAATGAACAACCTATGACATTCAACAAAGAGTATCAAGTTAAGAACTAGACACAGCATTAAAAAGACAGCTTATACCATTCAAATCTTAGATGCTGCCATTGATTTTAGTTTGTAAATCATTTTACATCAAAAATTCATATAATCCAACTAACATAACACGAGGAAGAAGAGAACCTCCATCATATCAGTCAAACAAGAACAGTGTCCACCAAACAACTAAATTGTTCATCACACAAGAGCAGAGTTTGTATCATTCTTTCGAACAGAAAGCATGTTTTAGAAAGAAACATAATTACAAAGTGATGATTTTATTTTACTCATTTTTTGGGCAAAAATGAAATCAAGGCATTAGAGAAATGTTGAAGGATTTTATTGAGTATAAAATTCTTGTTGATTTCTACTTGCATCCAACCAAATGACTGAATCCAATAAAAACATCATTTTTCAAAAAATGTTTTGTAACTTAATGAGAGCTAATAGCTCATTTCACTGCTTGTATTTAAATATGTAAATAAAGTGATGATCGTATGTTTACACATTTCGAAAGCAAAAAAAGAAATCACCAATTTGAAGGGATTCACTCATGTTGAATGCAAAAAATGAAATAACCAATTTGAAGGGATTTTGAGGAGCTATATAATATTTAAAATCAGTGTCTGTCTCTAACAACAACAAATCAAATTATGAATATGAAAAATTTCATGTTCTCAAAAATAATATCAAGCAACTAAATGAGCCCTTAGAGCTGATGCTATTTACCACTTGCAGCGATTGCTCTTGCAAATCTGCAATTATACGTTTTGTAAACAGGGTTTGTTTGGGATCACTTTTATTTTCTGTTTTTATTTTTGCTTTTATTTTAAAAACATTTCAAAACACCAAAAAGTTGTTTCGAGTATTTTTAAAAACAACTAACCATGTTATAACATACCAAACATATTTCATTTCAAGTAAAAACATAAACAAAACAAAAAATAAGAAGTGATCCCAAACGGACCCTTAACCATTTTGCGGAGTTCACGAGTATGCTCATGTCTGCTAGCAGCAGAAGATGCCACATTTAAAGTTATATCTTATTAAGTTCTATAAGCTAAACCATTTTGAAGTTCCTGGGGTGTGTGCTGAATTTAAATGAAAGCAAAGACTTGTCCTTCAATTGCAGCTGAATTTTCATGATCTTCTTTGGTTGGAAGGGATTAGGGGATTATACGTGTTAGATCTCTAATTTGTGTCAGCCTAAAATATAGAAGTAATCCACAAAAGAAAAATGAGGAGTAGGTGGAGAAGACAGAAAGAATATGAGGGAGGATGAAGGATTTTTGTATGGTAATATTTCAGACAACTAGAAGACCATCCATGTCAATGCCATAGCTTTCTCATATCTTTTCCATTTGGATTATGTGCTATTAAATATTTGACTTATACGAAGGTAAATATGAAAGTTTATATGTGAGATATGTAGATACATAAGAATTGTGTGCTATGTATGCATATGCCCCAATTTACATAAGTAAAACACAATTCTTATGCATTTACAAATCTCACACCTAAACTACTAGATTTACATACATAGTATTTTGGTGCTTTAAACCTATGCATCAAATGAGTATTTGACTATAAAAAAATAGCAATAGTGCTATTTTTTTTATGTAAAATTAAAGAATTGAGTGCTATGTGTGTAAAAATGAAAGTTTAGATTTAAGATATTTACACATAAGGATTATGTGTTATGTACGTAAACACCCTTATTTTCATGCTTAGCAAGCAATTCTTATGAATTTACATATATAACACCAAAACTTCCAATTTGACATACATATCATTTTGGTTCTTTAAACCTATCCATATTTGATTTTAAAAAAGTGCTAATAGTGCTATTTTTGATGTGATAAAAAATTCAGTGCTATATGTGTAAATATGAAAGTTTAGGTGTGAGATATGTAAATGCATATAAATTGTTTGCTATGTATGAAATGCCCCAATTGACATATGTAGCGCACAACTTACATACATAGCACACAACTCTTATGTTTACATATTTCACACCTAAACTTCCATATTTACATGCATAGCATTTTGGTGCTTTAATCCTATGCATGAAGAGGTGTATTTGACATTAAAAAAAAGTGGAAATAATGCTATTTTTGTTATGATATTAAAGAATTGATTGTTATGTGTCTAAATGTAAAGGTTTAGGTGTTAGATAAGCAAATACATAAGAATTGTGTGCTATGTATGTAAATGCCCCTTGAATTAAAAACATATATAGATCATCCTAGAGAACTCCATGATTGGCCTCCCGATGAACTCCCCATCCCAACAAGTAGTTAAACAGGTCAAAACCATATAGAATTTATAGAAAATGAACCATGCAAGAACAAAAGATCTCCTTTTAATAATCAAAATAAAAATACAAACAATGCATACCCTATCAGTAGCCAAAAGCACTGTCCAGGCACATATCAAAACAAACATTTAATAGTTGATTGAAGCATTAACACAAATACCTCAGCTCCACTTTCGCATATTGCTCCATGGAAACTTGCTCGCCTCCTCCTTCCCCGCTTCACGTTCTCTACCTCTCCTCCTACCCCTCTGCCCTAAATCGCCGTCCTTCCTAGAAGCAGGATACCTCCTTCGGTCCGAAAGCTCCTTGCGCTCTCGCCGCTCAGGATCATCTAGCCAGTGAGATCTCCCTTCATTGCCCTTACTCTCCTCCACAACGGAAGACTTCCGTGACCTAGCCATGGAGACCTGAGCAATCCGATCACGTTCCTCTTTGATCCATGGTATAGGGAAGAGGTTTGGATTCAAGGAGAGCGGAGAGCGAAGGGTGACGTAGGCCTTCTTGTAATCGGGCTTAGCAGCGAGAAAAGGCCCGCGTTTTTTCTTCTTGCCTTCCATGTTGAGGGTGCGTACGTCTTCTATCTCGAAGCCATATAGGGATTCGAGAACGCGCCGGATCTCGATCTTCGTGGCTGAAGGTATCGTCTTCAGCGCAATCTCACGAATGGATTCGAAGGGTGGTGAGGGCATAAGAAGCTTGATCGGTAGGTTGGCGAAGTGAACTACGCGGCGGCCCAATCTGCTTCCCATCCTTCTCTGTTTCTCGATGGCTCAGAGCTCGTCTCACTGGTTTCTCTGCAATAGGGCAGCGCTTCCAGTGGCGATCTGCCGGCTTAGGGCTCTTGTTTGGGAAAACCCCAATAATAAAAAAAAAGGACTTTTACTTAACTGACCCTTAAAACTTTTCATATTACAACAACCATTTTCCGTTGTCCCCTTGCCAGTTCTGCGTCTCCCACCCCGTCCGACGCCATTAACATCTTCTCACCATTAAGAGGGGATGAAGTACAGAGAAAGATCAATTTTTTTTTCTTCAAAGATATGCTGAAATGATAAATATCCCATATTTTTAGTCTGCCTCAAGAAAACAGGCCCTCTGCCGAACCTTTTGAAACTTCTTTTTTTATAACTCTTCCTGAAATATTGAACCAGGAGCTCTTCCTGAAATATTGAACTCGATGACGGAGAAGGAATGACGCATGTCCGTTTCGATGGGATGGACTTATAACAACTGGAATTCGGAGGAATTCTTATTGCGGCTGCAGAGAAGATGGATCTCTTTCCCCTTCATTTCAATGACTTCGATTCTCATGTAGTAGGCGTTAATTTTGGCTTGAGATGATGCTTCTTTGTACTGTAATTTTGTACAGCCTGTGTAGGTAAAAAAAGGTGAGAACTTTCTTTTTCGAAATCTAGAAAAACAAGTGAGGATGGAGGAAGGTTTCAAGAAATAAAGAAAGACACGCAGAGAGGGAGAGAGAGGAGGCATAGCAACATTATTGGTGTGTGATTGGGTGCAGACTAGGATGCTAGCAAACTGGTAAGGGCCAAGGATGGGTAATTAATATGTAAACAATTGAGTTTGGGTGTGTAATATAAAATATGATAGGTTTTAGATGATAGATATATAAAAAACCCTAATTATAAGATATGGGAAGGTTTTCATATATACATATCAAACAACTGTACATATGCATTAAAGAAGGTGTATTCATTTTTTTTTTTAATGAATAGAAAAAGATAAGATGGCATGTATGTCAAAATTAAAGTTTAGGTGTTAGATATGTATATGCAAAATAATTCCATGCGTAAATGAAAAAAAGTATCAACATAAATTTCAAAGAGATCTAATGACACAGGAAGGGCAAGACATGTCAAAGAAGAGCCCACCAATATGAGACACAGAAGCTCAAATGTCTGATTAGGTGTAACATACCTAGAGTCAGATGTTATAAAAGCAACTAGATAACTTGAGTCGAGCGACTCGAGGTAATCCGAGCCTAGCACCATGATGAACTTAACCCAAGGAAAGGGACAATACTTCAAATCTCATAGTTATATATGTGATTATCAACGGTCTCCCAAAGTATCATCAAGAACAAACTAGACAATTCCTAGCCATCTCACAAGATCTCTTCACCTAAAGGCAGGTTGCATATTGGATTACGGCGATTCACCCTCTACCCAACAACCTAGTTTCGCTCTGCCGATAAGGGTTCCTAAACAGGGATCGAGGACTGACGACCGTATTAGGCCAATCGTTCTACTGACTTAGCTGATTAGATTGGCCTTGCAAACCTTCAGCCAGTAGAAGACCAGCCGACCTGCAACTTCAACAACATAGTTGGTCGGTACTCCTACCAAACACGGCTAACCGACAAGCCTCTCTACCTTAACTGACCAGCAAAACCTATCCATGAGCTTGCTAGTCTACCAAGCTGAGCCCTAAAGTCATCTCTTTGTATGCCCATGTATTCAAAATACCTATAATAATCTATATGACCCCCATTAAAGTAAGAGCACAAATATAATTGGGCATACCATGCCTCCTTCCTCAATAAATAGGAGATCACTCTATAAAGGAGTTACACAATCTAAGCCAATAAAGTCGGGAAAGGTCAATGCACTTGCTCGAAGTTACTGTTCACTAAAATTCATTTCTCATGTCTCTCTTCTTCTCTCGTCTTATAATATAATATCTTGGGTGTGGTTCACAGATAAAACATGATTAAAGATCAAGGAAGGTATTTAAAAACCCTAAAATATATAGTAAAATTATTATTTTTGTTATATATTCAAAATATAAAAAAAAACTACTCCTAATAGGCCCAATTAATTTTAGATACAAAATAAAAATGCATTTAAGTGTATACCGATTGAATTTTAATATTTATATAATTAGCACAAAAGCGAGAGAATTTTGCTTCTTAAGAAGAAAAAGTTTTTACATTTATTTTTCCTTGTGTATTTTTATATTCCCATTGGCTAATTTATTAAATATGCTAACAATTTTAGGGATAATTATGTATAGAGAACAAGAAACATTGCTAATTACAAATCAAGCACCAAAGTAGTTTTTTGAACTATGAAATTGATACATGTATGCGTGCCGCGATCAATCATTGTGAATTTGATAAAAATGAAATATATGGGTTGAGCTTTTATCATGAACTTTGATATTTGAGTGATAATTTGAGAAATGGATGAAAGCACTTTTGTGATTGATTTGTAAATAGTACTTTTCTGGTTGCCCTCTAATCTAATCACCCCATAATTTTATTATGATTTTATGAATTAAATAGTATTAATTATTTAATTATTTAATAAAATAATGTTATCATTTTTTTTAATATAATGTTGAATTCGAAAATGTGCATGAATGAACATTAAAAAAGGCAAAGAGTCTTCTATAATAAATACTTTCCCAATTTATATAAGATTTAGTATAATAGTATTATTATATTTTTCCCCTCATTTGGATGGGATTTATACTAGTTATTTTAGGTATTTTATAAGTGACGACTCATCATCTGATCATTTTTTGGCTTGATTGGATGATCTTAGTAGGTTTAAATATGTCGAATTTCTTGGTTTATTGGGCTCGATCGGCTCATCTCAATCGGTTGAACCTGGTAGGCTCAAAAATCATTTGTCACGTTGTTTTGTGGAACTTGCTCTTACCTTGGGTGAGCTCCTCTGCGAGATGAGCTTTTGTATTGAGTTGGTTTTCCCTTCGTTAAAGATTTGAACATCCTGCTAGTGAGCTTTCAAGTGAGTTTCTTGTTTGGTACCAGTCGACCATCCTCATGTCGATTATTGACTCGATTTGCTTACTTTGCCAATTTGATTTATTACACGATCTCCTTGTAGGGGATTTTACTTCATCATACTTTCTCGTTTTAGACAGTTGATTTACTAACACATTTTTGTGATATTTCCTAATTCTCTTATTTCTTTAAAGTTATGTTGTGATAAGAATAAGAGAATTAAATATAACAAAATAAATCTCATTCAATGTAATTAATAACTCGATGATTGAACTCTCTTGATGTCGAAGCTCCTGCTTCCTATAAATAGATGACGACAATCTCCCTTGCTTCATTTTACATTAGCTCACCTCTTGCGCTCTGGTTTGATTTGATCTTGGACAAATTTACTAACTCATGTGTGATGTTTCCACAAAGAATCTAATCCATTCGGAGTTTAGAAAAGTGAAAGGATGGGATCACCCAAAGAGTGAGAAGAGGAAGAAAGTTGTTCTTAAGAGGAAGGGCTCTCGCTTCCACTGTCGAATTAGATGAGATCTTCTTATTTGTTCATAGGCATAGTATGAAAGATTGTTCAATTGACTGGAATGATTCTTGATCCAACATTTTAGCCACCAACTATGGCGCAAGTTCCTTCGACCGATTGGTTCACTCAAGTAGTTTCTAATGTGCTTCATTTGCTTTCACTGATTCTCCCCGGTAAGCTTTTTATGTCGCTTACAGTGTCTGAATTGATTTGATTTTTGAGTATGAGGGTCTTTTGTCTTGTATATATGGGGTCTGATCTTTTAGAAATGGTTCAAATTCTTTTTTATTAATGACAATTTACGATTTTGATGATCTAGCTCTATTAAATCCGAATGAGGGTCCGACCAAATCACCGAGGAACACAAAACAAGTGTTAGGTGATAGCAGTTGACTCTCAAGTGATGATGGTGGGGTTGATCGTCCCAAAAACCTTCACCTGATGTCACAGGGTTGTTGGTTTGTTTTTTAAACAAGATTAAATGTTCCTGAATTCAGTTGGGTGAGATCCAGTGAGATGGGGAGTTATGCGAACTATTGACATGTATGGCAAACGTGGAGGAAACTGTGACGACTCTCCAACCGAAGCGCTTAGATATGCAAGAGAAGTTTCAAGTTTTCAAGCATAGATTGAATTAGATTGGTTGAATCAAATTAGGTTAGAGAGAGACTTTTTGTATAAAAGGCCATTTTGATTCTCTTTTTAGATACTTTATTTCTTTGGACTGATTTCAGAGTGCTTTATTGTAATTTGTACGTTTTTTTTCTAATAAAGAATTTTTTTGTACTTCGCTTTTTTGTGTCATTTTGATTTCATTGGTTGACCACTTACGAAAACGATCATTAATTTTTTATTTTTTCTTTGCGATGTTTTAACTTCCTCTATCTTCTCTCTCTCTCTCTCTCTCTCTCTCTCTCTCTCTCTCTCTCTCTCAAATTCTTAAGCGCATGAGGAGTGACTGGGGCTCGTATAATAACCTACAACCATTCTTTCTTTATATATATTTATATATATATATATATATCTCCCTCGAAGTGATTGGTTGATCAAACTGGGACAACCATTCAATCCAAAAAGATAGCATGATTGGGTTGGGATGATCGATCGAGCCCAAGTGATCGGACGATCAAGTCAGAGTGGCAAATCAAACTGAAACGTTAATCAATGATGCCCCATAGAATGCATATATATATATATATATATTATAAATCATTCAATGTACATATGGATATCTAGCAAGTAGCTCTATCAAAAAAAAATTTAACATTGGCCCCTAACAAAAGTAAGTTTAGAAGAGGATCAAAGGACTTGAATACCTGGCTAAATTGAAATTTTGGAGCCTATTTAGCCAAATAATCAGCAGGTTTGTTTGCTTCACTGTATATATGATTCCATTTTATGTTAAAAGAAGGAATCAACACCTGAATTTTCCTCCATAAATGCAAGGTCTGCCAAGGGAAAGTGACTAAACGAACACAACATATGTAAGTAGCCAAAGAAGCCAGCTAAATCCGCACGTACTTAATCTTGAGTTCTTTAGCAATAATCAAACAGTGAGACTAATCTTGAATTGGTCAATTGAATTGATTACACAATTAGTGACTTCATAATGGGAATGAGTTGATTACTCAATTATTGGAATAAATATAGGTTTATAATAAGCGCAAATTGATGACACTTAATGTCTGCGATTATTGTGTACATTTTTCCTTTTATTA